CCTCTTGTGTTGCACTGTACGGCTTTTTTAAAACTACTTGTTATTGTTGTCATTGACGTTTTGGCCTAAATGTAGTTGGAGGGTCTGAGCTGAAGGAAGGGGACGTGGTGTCAGCCGATTTACGATCATGGCAGAAGTCCAGGAGACTCGAACAATCAGATGTCAAACGGCCTATTCCTGGGCGTGTTAAGCCCCCGGCAGAGGAAACGAGGTGCCCATCATCTGCTCTTTTATAGCCATGTATCCAAACTGTGCGGCAGGTGCAGGTCTTTATCACCAGCTTTATTTTTAGGTCCTGGGAAGACGAGAGCAGATTGAACAGGAGGGGTGTTTGACCTCATGTTGACACAATAGCATCGTGTCAGAAACGGCCTTGGAAGTGTCCGTCCCTATAAACAGCTTATAACCCCTCGATCCGTTCGACAGCTGGACGGCCATCAGCCGAGATATCAATTAGAAAGATCCCGCTTCGTGAAGGCAGCAGCGATGACGCTTCGCTCGACTCGGCATTCCCTACTGATGTCATTTACTTGAAGCGAGCTGTCGTGATTGGCTACTGTGAGTCCTGGGGTGCGTTTCCTAAAGCAAACATGGTCACAAGGTCCGTCATTACCGACATCCCAGCTGACAGACAGGGAACGTACTGTAACGTTAATAAAACGTTCTTTCAAAGTTATCTGGACTTTAATAATGTTCTCAAAAAGTTGGCATCGTTAATGAAAGATTTTTTATTTTATTTTTATGTCTACTTGTTTCAGAACGGGATGTTTCCTTAACGCTCACATAACCAACAAAAAGCATTTTAAAACATGGACATTTTGAACATCGGTCAGGACTTAATGTGAACGTTAGCGAAATGTTCGGTAACACTTTATTTCACAGTGTCATTGTTACATGTAGTTACTATTGTAATAACTATTAATTATGCATAATTACGTGCAACTAACCCTAAACCAAATCAATCCCTAATCCTAACCCTTATGTAAGTATATGTAGTTGCTTAATATTACTCAGTACTTAAATGTATAATTACAGTGTAACAAAGACACCTTGAAATAAAGGGTAACACTTTACTTGAAGGGGTGTGCATAAGACTGACATGACACTTTCATAATCATGACAGGACACATGAATATGAATATGAAGGGGGTTTTATGCATGTTTATGACAACTGTCATTAAGTGTCACTCGCTCAATTATGACATTTTTTAATGCAAATATGACATTGTTTGAGATGCCTTTGTCATGACAACTTGACATTATCAAGACAACATAAATTGTCATAAATATGTCATAAACATGACATAGCAGATTAATTATCAAACTTAAGAAACTTTAGCTTTATGGGTTAACATTACATTAAACTGTCATGTTGCTGGTTTTGACATTGGCTGTCATAAGGCCGTTATAACTGTGTCATGAATATGTTTCTTGACCTCGACTACAGTGATACACATTGAATTTGTCATTAAAATGTTATAATGCCTCATGACAGCCAATGTCAAAACCAACCACATGACAGTTTAATGTAATGTTAACCCATAAAGCTAAAGTTTCTTAAGTTTGATAATTAATCTGTTATGTCATGTTTATGACATATTTATGACAGGTTGTGTTGTCTTAGTAATGTCAAGTTGCTATGACATAAACCAATACATCATAACCTGTCAGTGTCTTTGTTAAGTTGTCATAACACAAAGACATCTCAAACAATGTCATAATTGCATTAAAAATGTCATAATTGAGCGAATGACACTTAATGACAGTTGTCATAAACATGCATAAAACCTCCTTCATATTCATGATTATGAAGGTGTCACGTCAGTCTTATGCACACCCCTTCAAGTAAAGTGTTACCAAATAAAGTGTAACCAAATGTTCTTAAAATATATGTTTTGTTAGCTGGGATAGTTCAATGATTCGGTGCTTCCTGAAACCATAGTTCCAACTAGAGTTGGTGAAGTGCTGACTTCGGTACCAAGTGGGTCCTGAGATTTAAAAAATGTGACTTTTGATCGGAATCGTGAACCCCTCTGATTGGCCGCTGTGTTCACGCGCTCATCGGATATGTCTGTGATTGGCTACAATGATCAACGAACGCTCGCGTGTGTGTCTGTGTAAGCGCTCGTTGAAGAGCGTCATTGATGTGTATTTACGCTGATCATTCTAGCCAATCACAGACATATCCGATGAGCGCGTGAACACAGCGGCCAATCAGAGGGGTTTACGATTCCACGCATCATCGCTGAAAGCATGAAAAAAAATGTCAGTATCGACTTGGTGCCGAAGTCGGTACTTTTCGACAACACTAGTTACTACAACATTTGCATCACAAACTTCTGCGGTTAGAAACAGATTCTCGTTAGTATGCCTTTATATAGAAGCGCTTGGGCAAAATAAGCAAGCTAACATGCAGTACATCTTTACCTTTCAATATACATTTGAATATATTTTAGTGTGTCAACGATCAGGGAACGATATTGGGAATCTGAAGTATGATGTAAGAGAAAGCTGCTCATTCAATGAACCGAATGTATACGGGAGTAAAGTGTACACCGATTACACACTGTATCTTAATGTGATTAAAAAAAATGAACGTCTTTCTGTTGTTTGTGCAAATGAACTGTAATGATCTGACTTCTGATAAAGGTGCAGTCACAATTAGCAGACTTTTGCATGCAAAAAAGATCCATTGTCTACAGCGTAAAGCGTGGGGAACTTTAGCGTCCCGAATGCCCAGATTCCTATTGAAATGGCTGGATTTCGGCGAGCAGCGTTAAACCTTATTTGTGATCTTGAATCGCTTCATTAGTAGTAGTTATTACTCCTCCACCTGTGTCTTTAACATCAGTGCGACATTGTTGAACCAAACGACGAGGTGCGACCATGTTTTTATCGTTTTGGGAAAGTTTGTTAATTTCATAACCAATGCATTATAGTTAGTTAGTTAATCAGCGAGTTGCGTCGTTGTACGGGACACGCACCCCAGGTGGAATCTGTCTCTTCATTGCCGAAAACGTGAAGCCGCCACAGTCATGACCTGACCGAGGGACAAGACGATACAGGGATTCATTTCTTATGCAGTGCAACTGTGTGGGTTCACATTAGGGATCAATTCTGACCAAAATCATGCTAACACAAACCGCAACTTAGTTTCGGCCCAGATCCGGCCCACATCTGGCCCGTGTGGGATCCATGTGTGCCGGATGTGTGCCGGATCTGAGCCAACACTATGTTGCAGTCTGGGAAAGTAGCGCACATCTCAATTTCATGAATGCAAACGCGTCAAGCTACAGTGTGCCGTTGCGAATACACACACCGTTTTGTCATCGGAACAACGCAACGCAATAGTACAACAATGTTTTATTAAAGGGACAGTTCACCCCAAAAATGAAAACTCTGTCAGTAATTACTCTCCCTCATGTTGTTCAACCCCGTAAGACTTTCGTTCATCTTCAGAACACAAATTAAGATATTTGCGATTAAATCTGAGAGCTGGATCACTCCTCCATAGGCTTCTAAGGGATTGAAACTTGCCGGCCCAGAAAGTTATGAAAGACATCGTTAAAATAGTCCGAGTGACGACAGCGGCTCAACCTTAAGTTTATCAAGCGACGAGAATACTTTCTGTGCGCAAAAAACAAACAAAAATAACGACTTTATTCAACTCTTCATTTCCTTCTCTGTTCGGCCGTGATATTTCACGTAGTGATATTGCGCAAAGCTTCTAGGTTGCACGTCACACGTAGGCTCACTATTGGCCGACCCTGGTCATGTGTGTGTGTGATGTGTGTGACGTACATCCTAGAAGCTTTGCGTAGTTTCACTACGTGAAATATCTCGAGGCCCACAGAGAAGGAAATGAATAGTTGAATAAAGTCGTTATTTTTGTTTGTTTTTTTGCGCACAGAAAGTATTCTCGTCGCTTGATAAACTTAAAGTTGAGCCGCTGTCGTCACTCGGACTATTTTAACGATGTCTTTCATAACTTTCTGGGCCGGCAAGTTTCAATCCCTTAGAAGCCTTTGGAGGAGTGATCCAGCTCTCAGATTTAATCACAAATATCTTAATTTGTGTGCCGAAGATGAACGAAAGTCTTACGGGGTTGAACAACATGAGGGAGAGTAATTACTGACAGAGTTTACATGTTTGGGTGAACTATCCCTTTAACATCTTGAGATGGACATACAATAATTAACATATATGCAACATTCACGTAGCTACCTCATCATTCACCCAATCTGTAAATAGTCCTTTATTTCGTAGTGCTTTTCACTCATCCCGTTGTCAGCCTGCAGTTCTGTTGTAGTGAGGACTGTTACACAACATTAGTAACATCTGTTTCGTGTACACCACACTAACCACCAAAGCACACACAACACTCTTGCCGTCCTGTTTGGTGCACAGATTTAGGTGCTTGTTTTCTACTTTTTTGACAATGGGACGATCGGTCACATTCATCATCTTCCCAGTTGACATGAATGTTGATTTGTCCCTCTCCAGTCACTGTTTGGGAAGGACAAGATGCATATCTGTAAATGTTGTCGTTTATTTATTTTGTCAGGGTCAGAATTGGTCCCGAAATGTTCCAAACGTCAAAATGACGAAGGTCTTTTGTGTTTCTCCTCACGATATTCATTGTGTATATTATATCACTTTGGCCACGCTGTACAATAATATTGTTCATTTAACAAACACCTGTGTCGCTTTCTTTTTTTATGTCAGAAATGAAAAAGTAGCAAAGACATACTCTCAAAGCAAAATGCATTACGTGTCTGCAACAGAGACCAGTCACCAATATCTTCTGCACATGGACCAAATCTTTATGATGTGGCAAAAAGTGTGTCGTCAATGATGGAGGGCGTTTCAGGCAAGACCTCTTAAGCGTGGGAATCCTAAAAAGCATCATTTCATGAACACACACACTTCACTGATGAAAGCAAAGAGTGCAATATAAATACAGGAGTATCCAAAATATAAAATTCAGATGATACTTTAAC